AGGTCTCTCTAAGTACCATCAAACCCTGTGACAGATGGCCATCCAGACTCTGTTTAGAAACCTCCAAAGATGGAGAGTCCACCATCTTCCAAGACGGTCCGTTGCGCTGTCAAACTACTCTTACACTCAGCAAATTCTTCCTAATATTGAGATGGAATTTCTTTTCTTGCAAGCTGAATTCATTTGTTTCCTAGTTTCTGGAGCAGCAGAAAACAAGCTCACTCCATCTTCTACCTGACATCCCTTCAGAGATTTCAAGATGGCTGGCATGCTACCTCTCCACCTTCTCTTCTCCCATCTAAACATACCCAACTCCCTAGGTCTTGACCTCATCCATCTTGACTTCCAGACCAGATCTTGGTCACCTTCGTCTGCACACATTTCAGCCAGTCTGTATCCTTTTGAGAGTTGAAAGGGTTCCCAAGGGCTATCCGGTCCAACTCCATTCCTGCCATGCAGAAATGCACAATCCAAGCCCTCCTTGGGACAGATAGCCATCCAACCTCTGTTTGAAAATCTCCAAAGATGAAAAGTCCACCTTCCAAGGCAGTCTGTTCTGCTGTCAAATTATTCTTACCGTTGTGTTGCATTGTGTAACTGTATAATTACACAAGGGTAAGGGTTGTGTAGTTGTATAAGTGTGCAGCATAATTGCTGTACATGCAGAGATCTCTGCTGTGCCACTCTTGACATGAGAAGTGTTCACACTTTTCCTGCGTCTTTCTGCAGGTGGGAAGTTGTGGGGAACGTTACGATGAAGGAGCAAAGGAATATTGCAGATAATTTACTGGTCTGCAGCAGGATTTTTATGCAAAATTATTTATGATGGAAATTATTGTCATCAAATATTCATCTCTTCCTTTCCTCATGCAATATGGTCAGGGATGGGATGTTTTTCTCTGTCCAGCTGGGCAGGGAGCAGCTCAGAAGATGCTCGGCCGTCTTGGGGGAAAATAGGTGTATTTTGAAGATAACCTTTCTTGGCAGGGAAAAGGCGAGCAGGAATCCTGCTTTCCCATCTTGAGAGAGGGAAGGCAGAAGCAAAAAGAAAGAAGTTTCCACTCTTCAGAACGCATACGCTTCAGGACACTGCAGCGTTGGGCTGCAAGGAATAGAAATGGAGAGAGGGATGGTTGAGAAGTCACCTACAAGGAAGAAAGTAAGCCTCTGGGGCTGCTGCCACATTCCAGAAATAAAGCAGTTTGACATCACTTTATCTTGCATGGCTTAATGCTATGGGATTTTGGGATTTGTAGTTTGGTGGGGAACTGTACCAGAGCTCTCTGACAGGGACAGCTACAGTTCCATAGCACTGAGCCATGGCATTTAAAAGTGGCATCGAACTGCTTTATTTCTGCAGTGTGGCAGCAGCTTGGAAGTCCCAGGATTTCTTCTTGTGCAAATTGCACAATCACACAATCTTGTACACGCAGTTACAAAACCCTAGCAGCTGAACCAAGGCTCCCAAGGTGAAATCCTGCATTGAAGAGACACAGCGTAACGTTACGCTCACAGACAGAAAGCATATCCAGAGTTAGTCACGTTGACCATATTGCAAAGTACAATATCATCCAAAATCCACAAAACAGTGGTACCGTTACTGGGCCAAGCAAAATAAGCCTTACACATGTTGCAAGCTTTGAAATAGTTATGCCTCAGTTACCACATTGCACAACCAAATGTGAGGTGTATGCATTGATGCGCAATGCACAATGGACAACATTGCAAAGGGATCTTGCAGCACCTTTGAGACTAATAACTGTGTGAAAGAAGTTGTAGCATAAGCTTTGGTAGACTTGGTCTGCTTCCTCAGATGCATGGAATGAAATTATGCCTGGGAAGGACCTTTATAACCAGACTATATGAATAGCCCTAGAAATGCAAAACTTGTGGGGATGGTGATGAGGCAACAAGGTCAGTTTTTACCATGGTCACTGAGAGACTTTTCACCTCCTCACCATGCCCACTTGAAGACCCATGGCAAAACCAAAACCAGTTATGTTGGACTGCAACTCCCAGCATGCCTTCTTTGACACAATAAGTCTCAAAGATGCTGCAAAATCCCTTTGCATGGTTGTCCATTGTTTGTTGCACATTATCACATACACCTCACATTTGGTGAGGCACACAAGCTGGGAGCTGTATTCTAAGGATATCTATGGGGCTGCATTTGATTCAGCCCATTTCTGCACTTTCCAAAACCCTGAGCGACAGATTACCCATTACGTTACGAACTGGACCAATTTGCAAGTTGCTTGCGCACCTATCGCCGTGACATAACGCAGCCCAATTAGCTTTGCTTTTTCGGCCACACAAGGCATGCATGCAAAAACACACAAACAAGCCCCGTCACTCCCGCCATGGCCTTGCTTTGCTCAATCTCTCTCCTCTCTCTCCTGCTGCTATTATTATTATTATTATTATCATCATCATCACCATCTTCTGCCAGGGCGATTTAGGTTACTGGGTAGGGAGGCAAGCCACATTGCTTATCTGGGAAGGGGGATCACATCTGTGCCGGTTGGCAGTTCAAGAGGGCCATCTGTCATCCGGGTCTAGCCTAACGGGATTTGGCAAGGAGAGATGGGCTCCTGTAACCAGGTAGGGATCTTGGAAGGCTGGTAATGGCCTCTGGGAATCCTCTAATGGGAGAAGCTGCACCTGTCAGACTTCATCCTGCTAGGCAGCTATTAAAAGCACAGGTTGCCCCCTTTGGCAACCCCAGAAATTGGTTTTTGCTTCTTCTTCTTCTTCTTCTTTCCCCCAGGGAGGGGAAAAATGAATGAGAGAAGGACAAACACATGCACAGAAAGAGAAGAAACATGCTTAATGCAAACATGCAACTCAGCATCGATACGAATTACGCAACATGCAAACTGGATCTCTCACTTTGTCTCCATTTGAATCAATAAACTGATCCAAAGCAGCTAGGAGACCTGCTCCATGTGCCCTGAGATGATCGACTGTTTATCCAGTATTTTTAAAGTGCCCAACACGTTTCGGCCTCGACAAGAAAAGGCCATCTCCAGGGGCTAGAAACAAATACAAATGAGTATCTATTATAAGTATTTAAAAGACAGGACAACGCTCAGTATGTAGGAGGATCTTGTAGCATCTTTGGACCCACTGAAAGAAAGAGGTTGGCAGCATGAGGTTTTGTAGACTTCAGTCTACTTCCTCAGATGCATTTGGTGGAGGGGAAAGCCAGGGGCAAGGCCTATATATGCCATTGGTGTGTGTGAAAATGTCAATTCAAATTCAAAATCCTTTGTCAATAGAAATCAATGAAGTGGCAAGACCAGTTTTAATGATGGTCGTTGTTTGTGAACAAAGGTCCCCAGTGTTCTCATTCTTTGCTCACAAATGTCCATCATTAAAATTGGACTTGCCCCTTCATTTCCATTGAGTATTCAGTTCCCAGTCACAGGTACCCATCATTGCCTTCAGTCCATCACCTGCTTCATTGGGATTGGGGATAAGGCCATTTTGCATTGGCAAGCATGCACTGATTCAGCCAAAGACTTCTTTCCAACTTATGGAGGTCCTTATTATAAATTCTTGTTGTGTGCCTTCAAGTCATTTCCAACTTATGGAGACCCTAAGGTCTTGGGTTTTCTTGGCAAGATTTCTTCAGAGGAGGTTTACCATTGCCTTCCCCCAAGGCTGAGAGAGTGTGACTTGCCCAAGGTCACCCAGTTGATTTCATAGCGAAGCTGGGAATTGAACTCAAGTCTCCAGAGTCATTGTCCGGCATTCAAACCACTACGCCATGCTGCCTCTCCCTTATCATAAGGCATGACCCTTATTTCAAGGCTGGAAAGCTTGTCCCTTACCAAAAAAAAAACCTTTGACTTTTTTGTATTTTCAAGCCAAACTCTAAAACAATTTCAGCCTGGAAGTATTTGTAAGCTGTTCTGTCCATATTAAACCCAATGGACAAGGTAGTGCTATGTTGGCTGGTGGGTTTGGGGGAAATCTGGTCCAAAAATTAGTTTTTGTGAACTTGCTTGGAGCAATATTGGAATCCAGGAAGACTCTGCCATAATGCTAATATTATTTTGGCACCTTGTGCAGAAAGGGGGCAAGAAATATAAACCACGATGGAACCGTGGTGCAAATGACTACAGCAGGTTGCTTTCACGGAGAACCTTCAAATACAAAAGGAAGAGGATATTTAACAAGTTTGTAGCCTAGTTTGAGTTCAGTGCATCTCTGCGTAACCCTCATCTGTCCTGGAGTTTGCAACAGTTCCTCAAAAGAACATCATGTCAGCAAAACAGACTCTCGCTGCCTTTGAACGTGGAAATGAAAGATTGCACCAAGTTGCAGAGATGCTTCTCCCCCTCCAAGCCTTTTCTGAGCTGCAAATATTCTCCTTTCCCTCAAAGGGACGTGGTCCCCAGAATTTAATGCTCTAAAACTCAGTCCTGAAATAAATCCTATCAAGGCTCAAGGTGGCATTTTCAAAATAATAATAATAATAATAATAATAATAATAATAATAATAATAATAATAATAATAAACAATACAGCCGGGCATGCTTCCACAAAGCTGGAGAACGTTGCATTTCCGTTCCCCTTTGCCTTTTTAAGAGCTTGCATGACTAATAAGGTGTGACAAGGCTAAGATTTTGCAAGCATTCTTCTCCCTAACTGTATGTTCTTCCAGCTGACATTAAAAAATGGCTAAATTTAGACACCTGGAGCAAACAAGAGTCTTGCAAACAAACAAAGGCTTGCAGAACCAAATTGGCGGTCAACATCTGTAAGTCCACCTAACCTCTTGTTACCGGTGTCAGGACATGTCTGAGCAAATAGGGCAGGACAGGGATAGCCAGGATCCCAAGGGAAGTTACTTTTTTTCTGTTGCTCATGGAGTTGAAATGTTATTACCTGCCTTTTATTGCCTTTTGTCCCTGGTTTGCACATGGCCAAGGAAGGGAGTGACATCTGCCTCCATTGAGATCCCAACAAAACAAAACCCACTGGGGTGGAATGAGCATAAAATGATAGAATTATAGAGTTGGAAGGGACCCCCAAGGGCCATCCAGTCCAACCTCATTCTGCCATGCAAGAACTCACAACCAAAGCACCTGCCAGGAGATGGCCATCCAGCCTCTGTTTAAAGACCTCCAAAAAAGGAGGCTTCACCATTCTCCAAGGCAGTGTCTTCTACTGTTAAACAGCTCTTTTCATCAGGAAGTTCCTCCTAATGTTTAGACGGGATCTCTTTTCCTCTATTTTGCATCCATTGCTCTGTGTCTTATTCTCTGGAGCAGCAGAAAACAAGCTTACTCCATCCTCAATGTTACATCCCTTCAAATACTTAAATAGGGCTATCATATCCCCTCATAACTGTCTCTCCTCAAGGCTAAACATAGCCAGTTCCCTAAGTCGTTCCTCATAGGGATTCATGGTCTCCAGACCCTTCAGTGTTTTAGTTGCCCTTCTCTGGACACGCTCCATTTTCTCAACATCCTTTCTGAATTGCGGTGCCCAGAACTGGACACAGTGTTATTCCAGGTGAGGCCTGACCAAAGTAGAAGAGAATGGGTTGGCAAAGGATTAAATGGAGACTTGAAGCATAGGCTTCACTCCCTCTGATGCTCCTTGGCCCCATATGTACCACTTTCCACCTGTGAAATGCTAGATGTTCTGTGGCCAGTGCAGGCCATGGCATCTTTGGCACGCTGTGGAAGGAGAGCATTTCATCTTGTGCCTTCATTTGGAAGCTGGGCGTTTCATTAATTAATTCCAGGACGTCTTCTGCAAAGAAGAAAGGAGTGCTCTAACAGGTGCCACTCAAGCGGGGCTCTTTGTTGTTTAATTACTCCGTTGTCGTCGTTGTTGTCGTTGGAGTAGCTCAGGTGCTGCCAAATGCAACAGTCTCTCTTCTGGAGCCACAAAGGGATTCCTCCGGGAGAGGCACAATGACACACAATTAACAAGGAGACCGAGGAATTCAGGATGGGCGATGCTTCAGCACGAACATTTGCTTTTGCTACCTTCTTGAGATTGTCCTCTTCTTGCATAGGACTGGAGATGTCTCCGAATAGACCTTGCCAAAGAAACCCTAGGAGAGGGTCAACATGTCGGAGCCCATGTTGGTGTCTTGGCTTGAGAGTGTTAGGATGCATCTGCACTGCAGGATTAATCCAGACTGACATCACTTCAACTGCCATGGCTCAAAGCTATGGAATCCTGGGATTTGTAGTTTTGTGAGGTCTTTAGACTTCTCTGTCAGAGACCTCTGGTGCCATTATAAAGCCCAGGATTCCCTAGGATGGAGCCAAGTGGCGTCAAACTGCATTATTTCTGTAATGCAAACGAGGCCCAACCTGCAGAATTAATGCACTTTGGCGCAACTGCCATGGCTCCATCCTGGGATCTGTAGTTTTGTGAGTGAACTGTAGTGCCACTACAGATCCCAGAGTTCCCTAGGATGGAGCTATAGCACTTAAAGTGGCATCAAACTGCATTAATTCACACACACTCAACCCCGAGGGGAAGGCAACAGCAAAGGCAAACCTCCTCAAAGGCAAACAAATCTTGCCAAGAAAGCCCCATGATAGGGTCGCCATAGGTAGGAAACAACTGGAAGGCACACAACAACACATGCACCGCATAACACATACTGCCTGCTTGTGCAAGTCCCATCAGTTTCGATGGGAGCTTCTGGGGAAGCACATGTCCCATGGGTCAGCTCGGTCTCCCATTCATTCTGCATCCCTGGGTGCCAACCTGGGTTTGCTCCTTTGGAAGTCCGCTTGCCAGGGTTGCCTCTCTCTCCCTTCCCCCAGATATAAACAGATGGCAACCCTATTTGTCTATCGCTTCAGCAGATCCACAATGCAAATCAAATCCTAATGCAAAGCGGGGTTTGGAGGGATGGGAGGGAATCTCGCAAAGGGAGGGAGCCTTCTTGGAGACATCTGGAGGGAATATTTTACAAATTGCAGTCTGTTCTCCCTTAGGGAACTATTCCATCATTTCATTAGATTATCCATGATGTTTTAACTATCATGGTTAAAGGTACTATTCCCCCCACACACACACACACACTTCTTTGCCTCTCAAGAATGCAATTTTTGAACCAAGCAGCTACAAAAATCCCAAAGGGGAGAAAGAGAAAGAGGCAGTGTGTGAGCATGCGAGTTACACTTAGGTAAGCCAACCGTGAGATAACAGAATTAAAATGGAAGTACATCAGACAATGCAAAGATGAAAGGCGGCAGAAAGGAGAAGGAAAACAACAGTCAGTTTTCTCCATATCCACGGATTCTGCATCCACAGACTGAAAATACAACGGATCCTTGGTATCCGCTGGGGTTTGCTTCCAGCATCCCCCATGGATACCAAAATCCGTGGATGCTCAAGTCCCATTGAATACAATGGCCTAGTGAAATGGTGTCCCTTATATAAGAGGGCAAAATCACAGTTTGCTTTTTGGCATTTAGACATATTTTTTAATCTTTCCAAGCCCTAGATGGCTGAATCTGTGGATAAGGAATCTATGCATATAAAGGGCCGATTGCAAGACACGATCTTACTTCTTCTTCTTCTAGTGTGCCTTGAAGTCATTTCAGACTTATGGAAGACCCTAAGGGGAACCCATCATGGGGTTTTCTTGCAAGCTTTGTTCAGAGGAGGTCTGCCATTGCCTTCTGCTGAGGCTGAGAGACTGTGACTTACCCATGCTCACCCAGTTGGGTTTTATGGCTGAGCTGGAAATTGAACCCCGGTCTCCAGAGTCCTAGTCCAACGCTCAAACCACTAGGTAATGCTGCCTCTGAGGTTGGCCTTAGGGCCACCATAAATCACAAAGGAGTTGATGGCAAGCAATGTTTCAATGACAAGCTATGAGCAACTTGTTGCATAATTCTTAATGCCATCACTAGGAACCTAGATCCCTTGATCTCAGGTTTTGGCCCAAAAAATGGGAAGATCCTGAAGTGGCAAACCTACTTCCACCAGCTTGGTCACTCTCCTCTGGACCTGGGTTGCATCTATACTGTAGAAATAATGCACTTTGACACCACTTTAAGTGCCATGGCTCCATCCTAGAGAATACTGGGATTTGTAGTTTGGTGAGGCACTACAAATTTTCGGCAGAGAAAGGCTGAAGGCTTTGGAAAACTACCAATCCCAGGATTCCATAGGATACAATGGTGTCAAACTGCATTATTTCTACACTGCAGATGCACCCCTGGTCATGGACATCTGGGTTTGGATAGCAATAGCAACGAATGCAGAATGAGCAAGAATGGAGCAACATTATTCCCCAAAAATTGAACCTGGTGAAAATTTAAGCTACAGATCTTGACAAGTTGCATCCCCTCATCTGCTGATTATTTAGATCTGATTTGTGTCTTTTGCAAAGACTCCACCAGGAAAGCAATTGGGCTTGATTAGTAAACCAGTTCAAAATGGGTTGTTTTGGGTACCTTTCCCATCAAACCTTGTTGTAGATGAAGGGATGCATATCAATCGACTGAGCATCACATCCCTCCCTTTGCTTCATTTCTTTTTGGGCTCGTTCTGTGTTTTGCCGGCTTCTGCCTCCAACTCAGTTTTCATCTGAACTTCTGAGTCTTCTTGTTATTTTGACAATTTTCCTGGTTATAGCATATTGAGTTGCACTGCAGAAAGGGAAGGAGGGAGGGAAGCCGAGAAGAGAAAAGAGAAGGGGGAGAGAAAAACACGAAATTATTAGCTTGTGTACAACACACTGAGCTTAAATGCAATCCAGGCTGTCAAAAGAAATGTCTTAATTAGCC